GGGTTCTTTCTTGAAATACAGCGCGTTGCAAGATTGCTCGTTGCTCCTCCCCTACCACCGCCACCGTTCTGGGTGGATCCGAACCATCCTGTGGTGTTGGGTCCTCGTTTTGACGAGCCGTTCCCCCCGCGTCTCGGTCTCCTCCTCATTCTTATCCTGCTTCTCCCTCCTCCCCCCCCCTCCTCCCATCGACGGTATCACCACCATCGTCAACGTCACCCCTCGCACGTTCCGTAGCCCCATAGCCACGGAACGCGTGAGCGAAATGCCGACATGGGTGGCGGTCCCGCATGTCCGCGCTGCCACTGGAGCCTTCGATTGGGCTCCCTATGGGGCCACGGAGCGTGTGAAGGGTGTGCCGAAATGGGCGGCGGTCCCGCATGTCAACGCTGCCACTGGGGCCTTCGGTGGAGCTCACTATGAGCTACGAGACGCGTGGGGGGCGTGCCGAAATGGGCGGCGGTCCCGCATGTCAACGCTGCCACTGGAGCCTTCGGTGGGGCTCCCTATGGGGCCACGCAACGTGCGAGGGGTGTGTCGAAATGGGCGGCGGTCCCGCATGTCAGCGCTGCCACTGGGGCCTTCGGTGGAGCTCCCTATGTGGCCACGCAACGTGTGAGGGGTGTGCCGATGTGGGCGGCGGTCCCGCATGTGCCAACGCTGCCACTGGATCCTTGGGTGGAACTCCTTATGAGGCCACGAAACGTGTGAGGGGTGTGCCGAAATGGGCGGCGGCCCGCATGTCAACGCTGCCATCGCAGCCTTCGGTGGGGCTCCCTATGGGGCCACGCAACGTGCGAGGGGTGTGCCGAAATGTGCGGCTGACCCGCATGTCAACGCTGCCACTGGGGCCTTCGGTGGAGCTCCCTATGGAGCCACGCAACGTGTGAGGGGTGTGCCGACATGGGCAGCGGTCCCGCATGTCAGCGCTGCCACTGGAACCTTCGGTGGAGCCCCCTATGGGGCAACGAAGCGTGTGAGGTGTGTGCGTGTGTGCTGAAATGAGCGGCGGTCCCGCATGTCAGCGCTGCCGCTGGAGCCTTCGGTAGATCCCCCTATGGGGCCGCGAAGCGCGTGAGGGGTGTGCCGAAATGTGCGGCGGTCCCGCATGTCAGTGCTGCCACTGGAACCTTCGGTGGGGCTCCCCATGGGGCCACGAAGCGTGTGAGGTGTGTGTGCTGAAATGAGCGGCGGTCCCGCGTGTCAACGCTGCCACTGGATCCTTCGGTGGAGCCCCCTATGGGGCTACGGAACGCATGAGGGGTGTGCCGAAATGGGCTGCGGTCCCGCATGTCAACGCTGCCACTCGAGCCTTCGGTGGAGCCCCCCTATGGGGCAACGAAACGTGTGAGGGGTGTGCCGAAATGGGCGGCGGCCCCGCATGTCAGCGCTGCCACTGGGGCCTTCGGTGGAGCTCCCTATGGGGCCACGAAACGTGCGAGGGGTGTGCCGAAATGGGCGGCTGTTCCGCATGCCAACGCTGCCGCTGGAGCCTTCGGTGGAGCTCCCTATGGGGCGACGAAACGTGTGGGGCAATGCTGATGATGGTGGTGATGTCGTCGATGGGAGGAGGGAGGAGGGAGGAGGGAGAAGGAGGAGAAGAAGGAAGAGGAGACGCGGGGGAAAGTCTCTTCAAAACGATGACCCAACACCACAGGATGGCTGGGAACAAAACGCTAAAGGGGGTATGATGGCCGCTGGTCGGATCGCATTCGCACTTGTTGATACGCGAGTTATATGGACAATGGCCATGTTTTCAAGGTTCTATCATTGATGGGCCTATGTTTGCCAGCCGCCAGCCTGGATCATATCTAGCGGGGTTGTGTGGTTTCCTCTCTTTGACCAAGCTAGATTGCCCAACGGTGTTCAAGACAATGCCAATTCCTCTGGAATTTTAAGTTTGTGTCAGCCAGCCTGCGTTGCGTTATGGTTCGTGTTTCCTTCCAGAGGGGGGGACTTCTTCAAGGGGTCGCACGAGGTCAAGGGGTGGAAGCTGAGTTTGGTCGACAACCCCGACGGCCCGACGTCCAAAATGCAGGTCGTTGTGATGGCGGACAGCAAGGAGCTCCGCGAGGCGAACATCGGCATCGCGATCGAATACGGCATCGAGAGGTTGACGTCAGAGTCGGAGTACAAGGTTTTGGCCCAAACGCAGTTGTATGCCAAGCAAGCGAAGAGTGTTTTCGCAGATATGATAAAAGCATCTGGTTTGGAGGATCCTGCGTACAAGCGCGCTCGCCTTGCCACTCTCACGGCTGAGGATTGCACGGCGACGCTCCCAGACAAGAAGGGCGACGACGACGGCGCGGAGGATGGCGGCTTAGACGAGGGCGGCGATGGCAAGGAGGCCGCGCAGGTGGAGGACGGTCACGACGTCCCCGCACAACGGCAAGATATTGGATATTGGGCAAAATTGAATGCCAAGGACTGGGCCTTTGTACACACGTGCGTCCCATGCGCCTTCGACGATTATGTGGCGGATGAGAATGAGACTGCTGTGAGCATGGCGTCCACTGCAGCCAACTTGGCCATCAGGCTCGGCGAGAATTTCGACCAGGTGCTGTCCGAGAAACCCAAGGCCATCAACCTCACCACCATTGCATCGGGAGTGTCCATGCTGGGCCACCGCCGTGCCAGGATGAAGTCGAAGAGGGACCAGTTTACGATGTCGGCCAATTCGCAGGAGAGCGAGGCCGCCAAGATCATCACAGACAAGTTGAACTTGGCTCAGGACGCAGAGGACCTCAGCAAGCCTGAGCACATGTTCTCGATGAGTGACGCAGAGTTTCGCACGAAGCTCGAGAGCCTGTCTGCTGCGGGCATGGTCATGCCAGTGAGCTTGGCAATTGAAATCAACAACAGGAAGGCTTCCGAGATTGGCAAGAAGTTACTCGAAGAGGATGGTCATACTAAAATCCCTGACTTTTTCAATGTGGTGATGCCTGTGGGCGCCGCGGCGGACGACGGCAGCGAGCATGCTGCAGCCGACGCCAGCGAGGGGTACGACTGGAGATCTCCGTCAGCCCGCCTCGTCCCTGGAACTGAGGCCAGCATGTGCATTCGGTTCGAGAGCGCCACCTTCAGTTACTTTGTGAAGCCTCTCTTCAATGCTTGGGGCACATCGCTGTCCCACGATGCGTGCGAGAAGCTGGCGACAGATGTGGACGCTTTCTTGATCGAGAACACGCCTCATGACGCCCCCGAGGTGATCCAAGCATCGATCAACAAGGTCATCGAGTGCATGCGCGCGGCGCTGTACGTTCAGAACCCGCTGAATGTCGCCAACCCCCCCGACTTTGAGAGTCTCTCATCGGCGACGGCTTTGGATGACAGCGGCTGGAAGGGCATCCTCTACAACGCGTACGAGCAGATGGGCGAGTGCAGCTCCTTCAAGGCGCCGCTCCTGTCCATCAGGAGGACTAAGGTCATGCGCCATCCAAGGGAAGCTAGTCTTTAGAGTTATCTGCTCCCATACTCCATCCTTCTCGCCTTTGTTCTCCTTCTCCTCCACGTTCCTCCTACGTCTCCTTGGCCTTCTCCTCATCGCACTCCCTCCTGGTTATGTTCTGCCTCCTCCTCTCCAGGATCCTCATCCTCAGTTGCCGCCCCACCTCCTCACCATCGTCGTCCTCTCCTCGACCACCCCGTTCCATCGTAGGACCTATGCCGATTAGCTTCGCACGGGGGTTGTGCGAAAGGTGACCCACGCAGTCAACGTCGAGAAGATCAACATGGCAGTGCAGATCTTGTCATCTCTATCTGGTGATGCAACGGATGAGCAGGTCGCGGCCGCTCGGGCGTCAATGACAGACACGGTGAATAATCTAACTGCTTTGAGGGCTGGGTCGAGGGATAAGTCGATGCGCGTCCTGGACGAGAAGCTGGCAACGTTCTGCGGGCGCGTCGCTGACCAGGACTGTTGGCACGACTGGGGTCCAACTAGAGAATGTCAGTGTCTGGTGGCGCGTCGGGGCATAGGGGCACTTAGGTTGTTTTAGGAAGGTCCGTCACTGATCATCTCACCCGTACTTCTTGTTTTTGAGCGGGTCGGTTTTGTTGACCCACAGCAGCGGATCTCAATAAGACAAGTTCTGGTTGTGGTGTTGCAGGGCCTTCCAAACGATTGAGGTTTTACTTTGGTGTCTGCCCTAGGCCAATGGAGAACACGTAACTAAATACGTTGTGTACGTTCTGTTGCGCGTGTTCTTTGGTTATTTGGGTGCCCTTGTCCTTGCTAACAGACTTGTCCTACACCTAGTGCCCAGGTAATCAGAGAATTTTGGTCGAGTTCATGGCCGATGGGTGTCTTGGGCGTTATGGTCTCGGTGGTGTTTCCCATGCGTTCCGAGGCATTGTGGTCTGACACGTATGTTGGCAGCCGCCCCCATTCAGGTAGATGGTGGTCCCGAGACCGATTATGAAAAGTGTAAAACGTCATATAGTTCGGGGTTGCCTTCATGCGCTTCGCATGCGCCAGATTGCAAAGCTTACGGCTGACCTTTGTGTGACACTATGTGTTGTCAAGCCCCCCCCCACCCACTGGTGATTCGTAACCGGGTGTCGGTGGCAAGCCCTCGGGTTGCTTCGGCTCCCGTGAGGCTCTTGCGATCGAGACCCTGTGGAAGTCGAGCGTCACCTACGATGCTCCCAAGCTGACGTCGACAATCGACGAGCTAAAGCAGATCTCGACTTTCTTGGAGTATGCTTCCTCTGGCAACCTTGCATGCATGCCGCCCAGATGCGCCGCGGCATCAGAAGCATGCCAGGACCTGTCGAGGCACATGTCGATCGAACTATCGAAGATCGGGTTCGCTGGCCGTCTCACTGAGATCAGTGTCACAGACTTCTTCGACCAGGCCAAGAAGGCCACCTTCATGGACCACCTCACCGAGATCCTGAGGGTCGCGGACCTCGAGTCGCCCTTCCCTGCTGACGTGACCACCGCTGCAGAATAGTTGCTCCAGAAGCTGCTCGAGCATATCACGAGTGATGAGGCTGGCATGGCTGGACAAAAGGCGTCGGAGATGTTGCCCGTCGTGGGGAAAGTCATGGAGCTCCTTCACCCTTCGACGCCGCCGAGGCAGGAGTGGATTACAATGCACAGGCTGATGACCACTGCAGTTGACGCCTGGACCGCCCTTCTTCACTACAAGTCTCTTGGCAATGATGCGGCGTCCAGGGTTGCTTCTGATAAATCTGGTGTTCTTCTCAGGGGGCTGTTCGGTGCCAAGAAATCGGTCCTTGCACAGCCCAGGCAGGCAGACGACAAATACATTGACGGCGTATCCATGCCTACGTTCCATGCTGCGATCGACGAGCTCATCGATTGCGACTCCAAGGCGAGGTACGAGGCCGCGAGGGCAGAGGTCGACAAGATCTGGACGATGCCGATGGACCCTGATGATACCGCCAGCGGCAGCCTCAAAGATTGCTACCAGGGCACGTTCGGCGGGAGCAATTGGCATGATGTCATCAGTGCCTCGGCGGACTACGACGTGATTTCCAAGCATGCTGCCAGAGCGATCTTGTGCTTGGACCCCATCAGGTTCAAGGCTGCGGTCTCTAAGTTCCAGAGCGTTCGGGGGCGCCCAGCTCGAGAGGGAGGGGCTGGACGTGAAGCCTCTCGCGCAGTGGGAGGTCGAGCAGGCGGCGAGGATCGCCAAGGCGGTCGCGACCTCGCGCGAGGCAACGATGATGGCCATCTTCGCGAAGTTCAAAGACAATCGCAACACGTTGCAGTCCAAGGTGAGGCTCGAGAAGAATGCCGCTGAGAAGTCTAAGCCGAGCAGCTGGGAGCACGTGCGCGCGTCGGTGAAGAAGTGCGCGGAGCGCGCCATCAAGTTGCTCCCTCTTTAAGCAGGCGGCCACCAGCTCTATTCAGTTGTTGCTGGTTCGGTGGCCAGTTTTATTCAATTATCGCTGCTCGCAGTTTTATTCATTTGCTGCTGGCATGGCTGGCGAGACCAGCGCTATTCAGTTGTTGCTGGCTCAGTGGTTTGTGCAACAGAAGTGGTGCATGAGCACCCACAGTATGGCATGACAGCATCCAGACACATACCATGAGCAATAACACACACACGCATGTTTGACGAGGTTGCACTACCACTGTCTTTGCTCGGGTGGTGAGTTCACCCGAGGCGCGAGGCTGCCACTGAACGACTGCAGGCAGCACCCGCCCTTCAGACAACATAACAAGACAACGCGATTGTATCCAATGGCTTGCGCCGTATGCTACATAGCGTTTGTGAGCTCAGGATTGCGAGGGTATCTCAGGCGAAACTGGCCAACCTGTCGCAATGTTTCGAAATACTTGTGCCGTTTAGGAAAGAGACGGCTTGAGGTCAACATGAAGATTGGGATAGGACGTCTGGGGGGGCGTCTCGGTGGGCAGTCATCTTGGGGGGGCGTCTCGGCGGGCAGTCCAGGGCCGAGCTGTCTTGGTGGAGCTGTCTAGGGGGAGCAGTCTAGGAGGAGTCGTCTAGGAAGAGCCCTTTTGGTGACCAGCTTAGGTTGGGCAGTCTTGATAGAGCTGCCAGAATAATCGACGTCGCGCCCCTCCCTCTCTGATAATTTCCAGCTCCCCCTCCCTCTTCTGACCCCCCCCCCGTTATCCCTCATTTCTCCCTCCGCCATTCTTTATCATGTCTTGCCTCTGCCATCCGTTTCCCTGGCCCCCCCGCTCCCCCCGCCAAACCTCAATCCATGATTTTTCCTCTACTTCACAGCGGCTTGCATCACAAGGCCCATGAATTTCCTTGCCACGAGTTGGCGAATGATTGTTCCAGCCTATGTCCAACAATGCCAGCGCGTGCCACCATGCGCGCACAGCATTCCTTCCTTTTGTTTCTGCGCATGTGTCGCTAAGGTGTTGGCTTGTCAAGAACCAGCTCCTGACGCAATTTTTCAGAAATCCACGATCAATTCAAAACCAATTGAAAAGCAATTTTTCCATAATTCGTTTGAAGGATGTCCTCACGGAAACAAAAAAATCAAGAGGAGGAGGAGGAGGAGGAGGAGGAGGAGGAGGAGGAGGAGGGAGGAGGGAGGAGGGGAGGAGGAGGCGGGGAGGAGGGAGAGGGAGGAGGAGGAGGGCGGAGGTGAGGAGGAGGAGGGAGGAGGAGGAGGAAGAGGAAGGAGGAAGGCGGAAGGAGGAAGGAGGAAGGAGGAAGGAGGCGGAGGAGGGAGGAGGGAGGAGGGAGAGGGAGGAGGAGGAGGGAGGAGGGAGGCGGGAGGAGGAGGAGGGAGGAGGGAGGAGGGAGAGGGAGGAGGAGGAGGAGGAGGAGGAGGGAGGAGGGCGGAGGGAGGAGGGAGGAGGGAGGAGGGAGGAGAGAGTGAGGAGGAGGAGACGAGGGACGAGGACGAGGCGAGGACGAGGACGAGGACGAGGACGAGGACGAGGAGAGGAGGAGGAGGAGGAGGAGGAGGCGGAGGAGGGCGAGGAGGAGGAGAGGAGTAGGAATGGGGAGGAGGAGGAGGAGGAGGAGGAGGAGGAGGAGGATGGAGGGAGGAGGGGAGGAGGAGGAGGAGGAGGAGGAGGAGGAGGAGGAGTAGGGGAGTGAGGAGAGGAGGAGGCAGGAGGAGGGAGGAGGAGAGGAGGAGGAGGAGGAGGAGGAGGAGGAGGAGGAGGAGCGAGGAGGAGGAGGAGGAGGAGGGATGGAGGAGGAGGAGGAGGAGGAGGGAGGAGGGAGGAGGGGAGGAGGAGGGAGGAGGAGGGAGGAGGAGGAGGAGGAGGGAGGAGGAGGAGGGAGGACCTGCCACCCGTTTCGAGCCCCTCGCCAGGGCGCCGCTGGCGTGGCGGCCGCGGCCTGGACCGTGCAGGAGGCACAGGCGCGCGCGGCCCGCGGAGCTTCCGCGCGCACCACTGGCCTGGATCGGCGCGGAGTATCCGAGAGGAGAGGACGACGACGATCATCATCGAAGAGGGGGGGAGGACTGGAATGGAATGGAATGCCTTCGAAAGGGGGAGTGCACAGCACTAAGGTCTGGAAGCCCAGATCAGATGTGGAAGCGCAGCGGGTCGAAGAGCAGCGCGGACACAGCAGGGGCGGAGGCCCCTACTTGTCGCCCTTGCCCTTCTTGCCCGCCGCCGCTTCCGCCGCCCCAGAAACCGTCGCCACGGGCGCCAGCTCCACGTCGACGAGGGCGACCTGCTGGACGGTCACCTTGCGCCCCTGGCCGCACAGGACGCAGATGAGGCCGTCCTCGGGCTCGGGGCCACCGTACAGCAGGCCGAACTGCCAGCCCCCGCGCCCATCGGCGCACGCGGTCCCCGTCCATCATGCCGGGGACGTCCCGCGGCCCGCCTGCCTGCACTTCGCCAGGCGCCGCCTTCACCAGGCCATCGGCTCAGTCGTCGGGCTCGAGCTCCGACTCGCCGCCAGCGTCCCCGTGTGCGGGCTCCGCGCCCGGGGCACCGCTCCGCGTCGCAGCGCCCGCGCCGTCAGCGCCGCCGTCGGCCTGCGCCTCCCCCTTGACCTCGTGGGCCGAGTCGATGTCCATGCTCGCGGCCTCGACCTTCGCGCCGCCGCTGCCGCCGCGTGGCCGCCGCCGCCGCCGAGGGGGCGCGGCAGGCTGGTCAGCCGCTCGGGCTGGCAGGGCGGGCGCAGGCGCCGCCGCCAGGCTGGCCACCGCGGCCCGCACGAGGCCCTCGGCAGCACGGAGCAGGCGCGTGGCCTCGCGCTGCTCCAAGCCGCCCGACAGCCCTGCCGCCGCGTGGACCGCGAGGGCCGCGCCGCGGGCGGCATCCAGGGCGTGCTTCGCCGTCGGCATCGCTCGAACACGAGGCGGGCGCGCGGGGGCGGCCCAGCGGCAGGGTTCGGGAATGGCACGATGGCTGCCTTGAGCCAAAATGGCTACGGAGGAGGGGGGGAGGAGGAAAAGGCGGAGGAGGAGGAGGAGGAGCGGAGGAGGAGGCGGAGGAAGAGGAGGAGCAGGCCTTTGCCCACGAGCCCCCCGCCCTAATGACATAGTGAGTTGGTGTCCTCACTCGGTTTCCCGCCTTTGCGCATACTTCCGGGCGGTTTGGGTTGTGCCATGGCAAGCACTGAGTTCCGATACACTTTGTCCTGTGCACATGCTCGAGCTCTCAGGGCGCCGTCCGCCGTCAGCTCCTCCCCTTCGGCTTCGCGGCTGCTGTCTGAGTGGGCCGGCCGGCCTGCGCCTGTTGTAGCTAATTCGCCTAGTTCGCGTCCCGGACTTTGCTCTTGCCGCCTGACCGTCGTCTCGCGGCCGCGACCAAAACAATACTTCTGGGCGGTGTGGCCTGGTACATCTGCAGAACAGGCCCCCTCTCTCATGTCTTTGGCCCTCCTGATTTAGGTCCCCTCCCCCAAAAGGTCAGGGTGCTCACATTGCTAGTCAGATCAGAGGAGGAAACATGCACCCATACCCAGAGCGAGGATCGAAGACGAGCGCGCGCCAGGGGTGGGGGGTCTAGCGCCGATGAAAAGAGCCCGCGCGGAGCTCAGAAATTATATGTTTATGCAGCTTATTGTTCCTCCAGAGGCGAAGGGAACGGGATCTCAGAGGAGGACGATGTGCCCACACCGCTACCCTTGCCTCGTTTTCGCTTGTTTGGGCATCTTGCGATGCACACGTTGTCATGGCTGGATTCGCCTCGAAATTCTGGCCAGAACGCACGCCAGCGTCAGGGACCAGCGGTATCGGAACATGGTTGGTCCCCCCGAGAGGTCCGACGTATCGAATAATGAGCAAGCTTCAGGTGTTGCGTGTGTTCGGCCTTTGGGGGCCCTCGACAGGCCTTAGGACCATCATCGAAACGAGTGTCAATGGATGCCAGGGTGGGTCGTGCCTGTCCAGACCTGGCTTATACGTTGGTTCCAAGTGCACCAAGTGGTCGAGAGGGTGTGGGTAACTCTGCTAGGTAGGCGGAGCCCACTTGGGCCAGATCTTTGTCCCCCCGTTGCAAGGTTTGGCCAGATGCAACCAACCTTGACGTCCATTGATAACCCCCCGTCTTCTGAGCGACCCCCGCGCCGATCTAAGCACGGGTCCATTCCGGGCCCGCTTGGCGTCTCAGCCCGTCCGGCCGCCGAGCGGCCCCAAGATTGAACGCGTGCTGCTGCCGAACGAGGCCAGTTTTCGCGCCCGTTCTCGGCGGCTCCTTCGGGGCAGGCGGGCTCAGGGCGGTTCCCGCCGAGCGGCCAGGCGGGCTCAGACGCCGACCGGGATCAGAAGGGAACCGTGAGGTCTCCAGAGGCCCACTTCGCCGCAGTGACCTTTCGGTCCCAGATTTCAGAGGAGTTTGAAAAGCGACCTGTGCATCTACCTTTCCCTCGTTGCCGCCGTTTGGGCCTCCTGGGAGGTCCTCGTCGCCATGGCCGGAGTCGACTCGGAGTTCGGAACAGAACGCACCGCGCGGGAGAGGTTCTGGAAGTAGCAGTATCGGTACCTCTTGGTTCCCCCAAGACCCCCTCGCGTCGTGATAGAAGTCACAACGGGTAGTTTCTGGCAGTTGTTCAGCCTGCGGGGGCCAGTGCCAGGATCCCGCCGGACCGTCAACAAGACAGTTCGGGGTGAAAAAATCATTGCCCCAGGGGGGAGGTCCAGATTTTCAGGCGACCATGTTGCGAACTATCGTTGCGAAAATCGCGAAGCCGGATGTCTGGATAAGAGTGGCCCTGATGAGCCGGGGTGGCCATTGGTGCGGGCTTGCCAGCGCCGCTTACGAAAAGGTCGCTCTTGCCTAGAGCCAGTTGCGTTCACAGTCACGGCGGCCCAAGAGGGGCTTTGGTTTCGGACCGTTCCTTGGAGCTGGATCGGTAAACCAATTCCGGGGGCAGCGACATGGGGGACTGGCTCGGGGGGGGAAGCCCAAGAACAGATGGGACACTGTGGGAAGTGGGGGCGAAGACGAGAACCCAGAAAATGTGAGAAAACATGGGGACACTGTGGGAAGTGGGGGCGAAGACGAGACTCCAGAAAAATACGAGAAAACATGGGGGAATCCTGTTGTCTGTGTCTGTCTACTTGCGTGCCCCTGGGCCCCTCCCAGGTCGGGGGAGCGTAAGACCCGGGTTTGCCAGGACTCGGGTTTGCCATCGTTTTTTGACGACCGCGCCTCGGATTTTGACGAGGAGGAGTTTCGTGGGATGTCTGCAGCGGGAGGCCTCGTCAAAATGCAGGCTCGGCCTCGTCATTTTTCTGACGACCTCGTCGGGGAGTTTCGAGTCCCCTGTACCCGGGTCTTACGCCCCCCTGACCAGGGGGCTGCCGACCCCACGCCGCCCGTGCACCGCCGCTCGGGGCCCCGGAGCCTGTTTTTTTTTTTAGACTCTGGCAAGTTTGTTTGCATGGACGGGGGGGGGGGGCTGAGCCTGAAGCAAGCCCGGGGGGGGAGGGGGGGCGCGGAAAAAACCACGCAAGTCGAAATGCACTTGCACCAGTATTCTTTGAAGAGGGGCGAGGGGGGGGGGGGGCGGGGGCGAACGCCATGCAAGTAAACTTGCCTGAATCAAAAAAACGGCTCCCGTGCCCCCCTCCGCTCCGGGCCGCCCGGCTCCGCGGTCGGGGGCCTGCCGCGGAGTCTCGTGGGCGATAGCGCCGCCGAGCTCCCCCGGGAGCAGCGGGGGCCCTGCAGGAGGCCCCGAGAGCTCGCGAGGCCGGCGAGGTCTGCGCCGAGAGGACGAGACCTCCTCCTCCTCCTCCTCCTCCTCCTCCTCCTCCTCCTCCTCCTCCTCCTCCTCCTCCTCCTCCCCTCCTCCTCCTACTCCTCCTCCTCCTCTTTCCCTCCCTCATCCTCCTCCTCCTCCTCCTCCCTCCTCCTTCCTCCTCCTTCTCCTCCTCTCCTCCTCCTCCTCCTCCTCCTCCTTCCTCCTCCTCCTCCTCCTCCCAGCGTCAAGCTTGAGGGCCCCCCCGACAGGTCCCTCTCGCAGTTCGAGGGAGGGGATCGCCGAGGGAGGATGAACTCAGGCGATCGCAAGCAGGGGTGAACGGGGGCGTGGATTGGCGACGGGTCCCGTTTGTCATGAGAAGTCGCGGATTTCCGCCGCCGAAGAGGCGGCGCCGGCCACATTTTGAGGACGGCGCCTCCCCCGGTCCATGGATTTGGCGACCGCGCGCCAGATCCATGGATCGCTAATCCATGTTTGCGCGCCCCCGATATAAGGCGGTTTCGTGTTATTATTTCTGGTTCCTTGCGCCAGAAGGATGCGGCCAAAGCCAGTGTGAAGGATGGATTTTTTTCGCAGGGGCACCTTGCATCCTTTGTTTCTGGCCAGCCTGATCATGTAGGGGCGCGTTTGGCTTTCGCGCCGTCCCAAGGGTCTCTTCGGATGCATCTCCTGGAGGGTTACGCTCAGCATCGGCGCTGGCACGTCCGCGGTCCATAGCTGGCCTGTGCCGACGGAAATTCGCCCAGCCCCCTCTTGATTCCATTGATTCCCGCGCATTCCAGCTTACCTCTGGGCTGAGACCGCCCTCCTTCGGACGGGGCTGGGACGAGCCAGAGGGTCCCAGAACGCTCTCGGAGCGTTCTGGAATGCTGTGAGAAGGGCGCGGCGATCGAGACATCCTCCCGATCCGCCGGATCTCAGAGATGTTCGATTAATCCCCATCAGATTTATCCTCGTCCTGGCTTCGTCTTAAAACCTGGGCTGTGTCCGCCAGAATTCAACCTCACGGACCCTTTCTCGGCTCAATGGGTTCTTGATGTGGCGCAGTAGCCCTGAGCCGTTCTCACGCAGTTGCCATCCAGGAGTTGCTTCGCCCTGCCAAGTGCTTCAATTGCAGCATACCGCTGCTTGGCATCAGTGGCGTCTTAAAAACGCCCTGGATGCGAATGGCAGAACTTGGTGACGTTTATGATTGCGGCCGCTATAAGTGCCCTCTGTGCGTTCTCGAGATTTGTCAAGGGGTTTGCATAGTCATCACTCACAGGCGAGAATTTATTTCTCGCATTGTTTAATTTAACCGTGGCGACGTAAACAAGTGCCCCACATAACAAACTAAGCCAAACATCGGAAGTAGGAGTGAGGTCTTGTATCCTTCATGTCCAGAGCCTGTTGAAAACATGATGGCCTACCCCTTACCCTCCAGATTCCGACTGCCATGAACTCGCAGCCGCATGGCCATTGTTATAAGTTTTACCCGCTGTGTAATATTTCACGGAGACCCGAGCAATGCGGTTGATACGTACACATCTGTATATGTGTAATGTTTGCTTGCCTGTCTGTCTGTCTGTCTGTCTGTTTGTCAGTAGGTAGGTAGGTAGGTAGGTAGGTAGGTAGGTAGGTAGGTAGGTAGGTAGGTAGGTAGGTAGGTATGGAAGGTGGGTAGGTAGGCAGGTTGTATACATTCTATATATATATATATGCCAAGAGTGTATCACGTTCTTGCTAGTCTGATGTCTGAGGGGTTGGCCGTCTTGGGGTCACGGCGTCCCCATCCGTGACTATCATGGCCCAATCGCGCGTTCGGTTCTCAGCGGGCGATGTCCTTTACTTTCGTTCGATGCTCAGCCGCACCATGGTGCCCCGATTGCCCGCCTTACACTTGTCAGTTGACGTGTCCTATAATTTCGCCAGCTGCTGGCCGCCTCTGAGACGTCGCGGTGGGCGTGATCGGCTTGGCCGGCCTCGCCAGCTTTGCCGCCACCCTCGGCCTGTGCAGCGCCAAGGGCTTCGCGTCCAGTCGCCGCTATGGTGTCGGGAGTCGTCCAGCTCTGGGCATGGATCCTGCAGTCGGGCCGCTTGCAGCCGCTGGGGGCGACACCAGTCAGTGACCTAGGGGTGGTGTGCGGCATGTCCGACGCCAGCGTGCACATCGAGTTGTCAGGTGGTGCCAGCCATGACTGCCGGGCCGTGATGTTCTCGAGTGATCGCCGCCTTATCCCGCCAGGAATCGATTGCGGACAGGCGGCAGCCACCCTCGTGCCAGCCGCCGTCCCCGTCGTTGCCGCCGCGCAGTGGGTCACGGTGGAGACGACCGCCTTCACCTCCAAGGAGACCCCCGGCATCATCGGCGTGTCGAGCACTGAGAGGGGCGAGGTTGGCATCTTCACCAACCCGTCGGGCATCGCGGTGCTCGAGCGCGACATGCAGGCGTGCCCCTCCGAGGAGTACCGTGAGAGTGCCAGCGCCCGTGACCTCAGGCCCAACAAGGCCGCGACTGTGGCGACGAATGTCCGTTCGATGCGGTGCTTCACCTGCTCGGTCGCGGAGCTGTCGCCATCGCCTTTTCTTGACTGGTCTGTGAAGTAGCGCCGCGAGAGGCTCGTCAGACGACAGGGCGGGCCGCTGGAGCACCACCGCTCGCTGGTCATGACCTTCGGGCCGCCCACGGACACCTCGGGTTTCGAGGTCCACCGCGCTTCCATGAGGTGCCTGGACAATGGATTCAGCTTCGGCCTGGTGGATGTCCGCAACAGCTCCGCCGTCGAGCTGCTCCTCACAAAGGCTTGGCTGGTGGAGTTCGCGCACCACGTGGACGTCTTGGCTAACCGCGGGTCCAAGGCCACGGGCAAGGGCAAGGCCGCTGCCGCTTCCCTCCAGCACGCCGTCTTCGGCGAGTCGGCGATCGTTTCAGAGATGACCACAGACCCGGGTTTGGCGATGGTCCGCCCGAACTTCGTGGCGCACGCGGCCCCAGAGGTCGAGCACGACGTTGCCGTCCTCGAGCTGGTCTGCAGAGACCGAGAGGAAACGGGCGGCGCTGGCCCCGCCGAGCCGCAGGAACGACAAGGAGCAAGGGACGATGCTCACCCCATCCGGGGCTGGGACCGTTTCCCAGCCAGCCCCGGAGGAGGAGGACGGAGGAGCAGGAGGAGGAGGAGGAGGAGCAGGAGGAGGAGGAGGAGGAGGAGGAGGAGGAGGAGGAGGAGGAGGGAGAGGAGGAGGAGGAGGAAGAGGAGGAGGGGGGCGATACGGGGGACCCGAACGGACATTTTAAGCCCTCGGCCCCGAAGTGCTCCCAGGAGGCCCCAAGAGGCCCCCAGGAGGCCCCCAAGAGGCTCGAGTAGGGCCATTTCGGAGAGCCTCCTGGGCTGGGCCTGGGGGGCAGCCTGCTTTCAGACACCCTTTCTGGACCGAGGAGCGCCGGCGAAACCAGCTTCCACTCCCCTGACCTCGTTCGGTTTTGCATCGAGGATCTCGTGGAGCTGCTGCACAACTTAGCAGGTCGCACGTCGCCGGCTCTTGCGCACGAATCGCCTCGACATGGTGTGCGGTGAGGTTACTGGCACACTCAATGACATGCACAATGGCCCACATTGTCCAAGGTCTTCTCGTGACTCTTCGGCCAGCCAGCAGGCGAGTATCAACCCAGTACTAACTCTGGCAAACATCGTGACTATTTCGCCTGTCTGCATTGCCCATGGGCCCGCCGCCTGATGATACGAGTGGCCTGGGGGCTCTGCGAGCGCTCCGGGCGAAGAGAGCTTACGGCGAAGGTGCCGTGATCGTTCCTCTCCGCATGGGCGTTTTCCTTTTGGTCGACCTGCCAGTTTCTGGGTCAACGTCGCGTTCACTTGAGCGCTTGGCGGGGGAACGGGACATAGAGATAGCTGGGCAGCTAATCCAAGTTCGTTTGCCAGAATCCACTGGCAGGGAGAATGCAAAGCTTCATGGGCCCGCGAAACCTAACCCGGATCCTGCCCCCAAGCGGTCGCAGGCCTTGTGCGCGGAGCTTCTGCGCCGGATGGCCGTGCGCGACAGATCGAGCGGCATTTATCGTGCGAGGTATTGTGCGGCTAATTCGCTGTCCATCAAAAATCGGGGAAGTATCGTTTCAGTGTCGATGGTCGATAACCATCGCGCCACTTTCCAGGATAGTGGCCCTGTCTCGCTGACCTCATGGGCCGTTTTTTGCTCCATCGGGGTAGACAGTTCTGCGCCAGTCCAGGTCGGTAAGGTCGATATCGTTAACGCTTTCAACAACATGTCACTACCACAGGCCACAGGCTCTTCGAGGTCTGTTTGTATTTCCTCGGGCATGCGCCGACCTGGCATATCCCTCGCCAGCTCAAGGCTGCGCTATCAGACGTGGCCAATATTTTCCAATCTTGAATGTGATTCCGAAAGGCTGGAAGTTGTCTTTTTGGGCGCGCCAGCAGGTTCTGGCGCGCTGGGCCAGGGTCGTGACCGACGTCTCTGACAAGAACGCTGTCTTCGACCATCTGCCTCTAGCCTGGCGCCCTTCGCTCACGCCGAGTAGGTTGACAATTTCGCTTTCGGTTGGGATCTCGAGGTGGTCAGGACAGTGGCCGAGGATGTCCAGCAGGTGCTACGCAGCGTAGACCTTCCCGCTCACTTAGCCGAAGCGGGCCCCGGAGCCACTACGTTGGTTTGGGCCTTCTTTTTTTTCGGACGCGGGTGCCACCGTGGGGGTGAGCCCTCGCGCGGCCGGGAGGATCAGGCTAGCCGTCCAGCGAATTATTTATGAGGTGTTCGTGATTGGGGACACGTTGACGGTCGTCATGTCGCATTGCTTTATTCGTGATCTTTTGCGTCGTGAGCTTTTGTGCGTGTTCTCCGCATGTTATTATTTTGCAGCTGACGCTGGGCTACGTCGCCGCCGTCTGTGGGTCGTTGTCCGCCGTGTGCCCGGCGGGGCCGCTGGGCTCGCTCATCTCGTTTATCGGGATCATGGGACCGCTTGATCCGTGGACGTCTTGGCCGTCGATGCTTCGCCCTGGAAAGGTTGCGTCGCGCAGCAGCAGGTAGCGCTCGACATCGTCACGTAGCTCGGTCAATTAATTCAGCGAGAGACGGCGGTTCTCTCGACAGGAGGAGTTAGGATATCGTCCTCAGGATCATGCTCTAGCCTCGGCCACTCTTGGCGGGTTCCCTGCCAGAGGTCCCCGCAGCCTCCATCCAGACGCTGAGCTCCCAGGCCCCCCCCCCCCGACATCGACTCCGACGTGCGGGGCGGGGACTGGCCCCGGGTCCTGGTTCGGAGGCCCAGGTGATATTTCAAGGCCGCACCGTGGTTCCGGCCCACCTCCACAAGACACGCTACTCGGCGATTTTCGGGAAGCGCCACCTGTTCTTGGGAGGCGCCAGGGCCAGCATCCTTGCCGTCTGTGCGGGCCGAGCGACGCCCAAACGCAAACAACAATTCGACGCGCGGGACACATGCGGCGCTTCATGCGCGCGCCGCGGCCGCGGAAACATCCCGATGTCTGGAAGGTCAGCTCGCGTTGCCCGCGCGCATGGTCGCGGCAACCGCGATCTGGCGGCGCGCGAATCCCGCTGGCTCATCGAGGGGGGCAGCCTGATTCCAGCGGAACGTCGCGAAGCTCCGAGCGAGACCTCTATGCGCGACGGCCCCGCGAGAATTCGCGCGACCCGCCAGACTCGGGCTCCAGGGGCGGAGTCGATGCAAACGCGGGTCCGCCAAAGCGCCGGACCAGCAGGAGTCTGCACAGCCAGGGCTGCACCGATTTAGGCGCCAGCGTGCAGGATATCCTGCAGGATATCCCGTAGGCTCTTGCAGGAGCTCGCAGGATCCTGCCGGGCCTGCCTGACATGGGTTTGAAAGGACCCGGGTCAGCGTCGGAGGGGGGAAGGACGAGGATAAATCCGTTCCAGAGCTTTCTGGAACGCTCTCAGAGCGTTCCGGAACGCTCTGCGAAGCTCGCGGCGCCCGAGTCATTTTTTGGAACCGCTGGATCTCTGAGATTCTCGATGGGTCCTCACCCGGATTTGTCCTCGTCTTCGCTTCGTCTCCCAGCAGAGCCCCAACGTCGGCGCCGCCGCCGTCGGCGTGGTCGCCGCCCGCGGCTCCGAGACGGGAATTTATACATGACCACCGCCTGGAGGGTCAATTTATACATGACCACCGCGGGATTCGGGCCCTTGAGAGCCAGAATGTATCCATGTCCGCCGCCCGCTGGGGCACCAGGACGTCGGCTCCCACGCGGTGGATATGGACAAATCCCCGCCTCGCAGCGGTGCCGTGGCCGCCGCCGCGTCGGCACCCGCCGCCGCCGTTGGCGTGGCCCCGCCCCTTCGGAGGCGAGGCTCGAGGCGCTGCCGCCGGCGCCCGAGGCAGCCGCCCTGCTCGGGTTTCTCGCGGAGCAGGCGCCCGCCCGCCGCCCGCCGCCGCTTGGAGGGTTTCTCCAAAGGGTTTCGGCGACCCCTCCTCTTCCTCCTCCTCCTCCTCCTCCCTCCTCCCTCCTCCCTCCCCCCTCCTCCCCCTCCACCTCCTCCTCCTCCTCCTCTTCCTCCTCCTCCTCCTTCTCCTCCTCCTCCTCCTCCTCCTCCTCCTCCTCCCTCCTCCCTCCTCCTCCTCCTCCTCCTCCGTCCTTCTCCCTCCTCCCTCCTCCTCCTCGTCCTCCTCCTCCTCCTCTTTCATCTCCTCCCCTTCCCCCTTCTCCACCTCCTCCTCCCCCTCGGGTCGCCTACGGCCCCGGGGGAAACCGTGCACCGCCACCAATCGGGGGCGGCCAAGAGGGGAATGATGACTAGGGGGGGTGGATGTCATGGCGTGGGCCATGCTATTTCCTCAGATTTCATAGCGCCTCTTCTTATTTCAGTACGTCCCTGCCCCCCCCCCTTGGGCCGCACACGTGCCGCCGGCCACGGTTTGCGCCGCCCCCCTCTTGGACGCCCCCTTCTTGGCGCCGCCCCCGAGCCCAACCCAGGAAGCCCCAGGAAGTCCCAGGGAGGCCCCTGGGGGAGGCAGTAGTGTCTTTATGTGAGTAGGGCCCTCGGGGCGCGCGCGGGGATTCTTGTTCGTCTCGCGTGTATTGTGTTTCGGCCCTCAACTCGGCATCGCGTGCTTGATCATAGCCTGGAGACCCCAGGAGAGCTTGGACCCCGAGGTCCTGGCGACTCCACTTTTTTGAGCGGGGTGTTTTCTCGCCGGGTTTCGGGCCACGGGGCATGCATAGCTCGACCCGGCTCGAAACATGGCGCAGGACTGTGGGGTCTAGAAGGCTTTGGGGGTGGCCGTTCACGATGTTTCAATTTTTCCGAGACGTCGGATCTCGGGGGAGATCGCAGGGTTGGGGGGCCACGTGCGAACCCTACCCCTACCCCCCACGACTTCTGAAGGGGAGGGTGGGGTTCACTTCGTTCGGGACCTCCCGAGCGAAGTGAACCCCACCCTCCCCCTCAAAAATCTTGTGGGGTAGGGGTAGGGTTCGCACGTGGCCCCCTAAGGGCTGCGAGGTGCGAGGTTTTCGGGCGTTGTCGTGGGTTCGCGGCGGCTTCCCAGCCCCAGGGTGCTTGCGAGCAGCTGCGCCGCCTCGCCGAGGGCCGCCCGGGGGGTTGCCTGCATCGCCCCGATCGGCCGCCGGAGGCCCGAGTGATGGTCGCAAAACCAGGGAGGCCCCCTGAGATCCAGGCGTTGCAGTTTTCGCAGCGTCAGGAGGAGGAGGGGGAGGAGGAGGGGGAGGGGGAGGGGGAGGAGGAGGGGGAGGAGGGGGAGGAGGAGGAGGAGACATTCCCTGGACATTCCCCTGACGACATGGTCGAAGGTCGCCGCACCGCCGCCCGCCCACCTCAGGGCGTCTTCGAGGCGGCGGCGGCGGCGTCGGCGGCTCGCAGGCGGCCTGGCCCCGCGCCTGGGGGCGCGTCGGGCCGCGCCCGCGGCGCCCGCTGCGCGAGCCCGCAGCAGGGCCCTCCTCCAGCGGGCGAGGCGTGCCTCACGCGTGGCGGCCCCTGGGCCAGCCGCTCGCCTGAGGGCGTTCCAGGCGGGGCGAGCCGCCGCGCGGGTCGCCGCGCCTCCGCAGGCGGCTGGGGCGGCGGCGTGGGGCCCGCCAGGAGCTGCCTCAGCGTCGCCAGCGGCAGCAGCGCCTCGGTCCTGGGCGGGCTGCCTCTCCTGGCTGGCGTGGCCGTTGGGCTGGACCGCGCTCTCTCCCTTGCGGCCTCCAGCGCCTGCCTGGCTTCTTCTCGTCTCCTCTGGCTGGAGTCCGTCTCGTACTGCTTGAGCTGCTGGTCGGGCTCCCTCAGCTGGCTCTGCCTGTCCAGTCCTCTCGGCGTCGCCGCTGCTTCCAGCAGCCGCGTCGCCCTCGCCTCGGTCTCCTGCTCGCTCAGCTTGGGCTTGGGTGGCCGCGGCGGGGAGCGTGGAGCGGCGTCTGCAGCTTCCTGGCTCCGTTCAGCTCGTCTCTCCGCTTCACTTCGCCTCTGGTGGAGCCTGCCGTGCCTGCCCAGCGCGTCTGCTTGCCCCA